GGGGGCGGGGGTCGGTGCCGGGGTGGTAGGGAAGGCTTACGCCTGACTGCGAGTACCTGCACATACTTGTTAGCGTTGAAAGTGAGAGAGTAACATCATAAGCATGAGTGATTTTCACTAGGGGCGAGCTGGGATGCTAGCATTTTTTTTCTTGAAAGTCGCTCGTAGCTGCTACTTGAAAGAGGTGTTGTGCTTGCTATAGTCGTATGAAGAGAGTTCTGTTATACTAAGAGGAGCTTGCAATCAAAGAAAGGGTCTACACCATGACAATTAGCGCCCTATCGAAGGAGTGCTAAAGATTGCCCGCTGAGGTTTGCTACTACCCCCAAGTTGTTCTTGTTATTATGAACGGTCTGTTGATTGTTGCCCGACCCACAAAAAAGTAGTACATCACGTGTTGAGTCGGGTAGGATTGTTGAAGTAATTAAGGCACATTTAAGGGAGTGGTATTGGCGCTTCAATGAGGAAGCAGAGGGTTTGACTGCTGGCATCGCAACGCCTCGTCATCTACGATTGCGCAGATCGGGGGATGTATTAGCAGCAATCATTTGGACTGGTGGCTTATTCATTTTTAACTTTGTTGCTAGTGAATGAACTCCTCGCGTTGTTTTTCAACTTCGGGGATGTAACTGTGTCTGTGCTGCGAACATTATTGAAGGCCTTTCATGAGCGTTGTGCAACTTCATTATATCTTGAGAGTTTGAGAGTCTTTTTTATCCTTCACTCCCTTCAAAATATACTTACGATCACAGTCAAAGTCAAATTTGAACTTCGATTCACAAAACACACTTGTAATAATTGAACATAAAAAAAACACGCGCTACACAGGGTCAACTTCGACCACTCTCTACACTCATACCCCTTGCCTTATCTGCATAAACCCCAACCTTTGTGCAACCTTTCAAATATAATATTAAGAATGTATAGTTTCTATAAACTATAGTTTCTATAAAAGAATATTTCTATAAAATCAAAGAAGATAAATATATACTGGATATCTCTATCTAGATATATATAGATATCTAATAATATCTTGAATATAATATTTATAATAACCATAATTTTTTATGAAATTATATTAAATGAAATTAAGAATTTATAGCTTTGAACGTTTAACAGTCTAATTGTGCTTAGGCGAGATACTGTCGAAATTCCTGGTACTCTCTGACATATATCAGAGAAGAGACAAAGAACATAGGAATATTTTATACTTACTCAAGCATAACTTAGACACTGTTACACTGGCATGCGCTGTGTTGCAGGTAATTTTCACTCAAATTGATTCAAGGCTTGATTAACTTCGGTTTGATCCTATGAGGATCAACTTCTGGTATTTTTTGATAACAAGTCGGTTTCCGACGCAACTCTAATCCATTCTCACGACTTAACCTAAGGTCATAGCCCCTTTGGGTTGAATTGCTACTTTGAATTCTTACCTGGACTTTTATTAAATGGTCATTTAAAAAGTACTGAGTGTTTTATTTTGGAATGTTGGATAGAGGTTGGGGCTTGTGCGGACAAGGCAAGGGGTATGAGTGTGGAGAGTGGTTAAAGTTTACCCTATGTAGTGTGTGGTTTGTGGATGTTCAATTCTTGGTGTGATTACAAGTATTTTTTGTGAATCGAAGTCCAGATTTGACTTTGTGTGCGATCATAAGTATATTTTGAAGGGAGTCATACTTTGATTGTGAGAGCGATCGCCTCATGTTCTTTAACCCGATTGTGTGTCTGTGGTATATCTGCTCGATCTATTAAGACCGTGCACATTTTGATCGGACAAATGTTTCCACACCTCCAATGATGGAACCCCACTTTCAGTGTTAGGAATCGCTACAAAGGGTCGAAGCTCGTCTACCACTTATCTGCGCAGGGTGCAGAAGAGGGTATACTCGCAACCGCTTCTGCGGTTGTCTAACGTTAAGAGATACCCCCTCAAGACACGTGTCAGCCGCCACGAGTGTCGAAGGCTGCTCGAGTGTGAGTGCCATATAGTACGTCATCATTGCGCCAGCCGCCTGCGTGCATATTTATGCATTACTAGTCAATATGACTAAAGCCTCCGTCGCCACAATATTTATTTAGAGTCTCGCGCGCGACACCAGCCTAATTCTGCTATTAGAAATTATGGGTCGGATGTTAAAACAAGGCCTAGGTGCGATTTACGTACGGTATTTTCAGGAGATGTGTGTGTGGTTAGATTTGAATGTCCTAGTTTAACAGGGTAGGATCGCGTTCGGGAGATCAGCGCCTCAGACGATGATTTACGCACGCGTCCAAATAGTGACAACTCTCACTGATGGAGGTAAGTTGTACCTCACGTGGGTCTATCCTGTCGTAAGGGTTCGCGAGAGGTATGGTTGACGCACTCGGTCGGAACAGCAAACACTCTAAGTGACAAGTCGTACAAAATCCTTCGTGAAATGGCCGAGAGGATCCCCTTTTGCGGAATCAATGCGCTCGACAACGCACGTGCTCACGATACCCACGACGATGTGCACACTTATGTATTACTTGACGTAATTGCTCGGACACTGGTCCTAAACGTGAAATTTAAGGTCCTTGTCCAGGACATTCCAGGTTCTTGTTTTGCACAAAAGAGTTTTTCCTATGCGATGAACATTTGCGTTTCGCTCAACATAGCACTTTGCTTAAGACTCCGGGACGCCGCGAGTGTTGAACGAATTATCCTGAAGAAGCATACTATGAGGCGCAATACTAAAACCCGTGGAGGGTTGCGCGATTATGGGTAACGCATGAAGTATCGCTATGACAATCAGTTGTGTGAGTACGTATAATTGAATGCTGTGGTTCTCTTCACGCGTGTGTTCTTTTTATGCATTTTCGTTCGAAGCATACCTGAAATTCGCCCACAGAACAAATCATAACTCGGAACATTTGTAAAAAGGACCTA